CCTGTAAACCTAGCACTTTGGGAGGCTGAGGTGGGCAGATCACGAAGTCGGAGATTGAGACCATCCTGGCCAATGTGGTGAAACCCATCTCTACTAAAATACAAAAAATTAGCCGGGCATGGTGGTGTGCACCTGTAGTCCCAGGTAGTCAGGAGGCTGAGGCCAGGGAATCCCTTGAACCTGGGAAGCAGAGGTTGCAGTGAGCTGAGATCGCACCACTGCATTCCAGCCTGGCAATAGAGTGAGACTCCTTCACACACACAAAAAAAATTAAGCCTTTTATCTGAATTGATTTTATTTTAAAAATAGAGATAAGTTCTTGCTATGTTGCCTAAGCTGGTCCCAAACTCTTGCCCCTAAGTGATCTCCTGCCTTGGCCTCCCAAAGTCCAAAGTCTAGGGATTACAGGCACCAGCCACCACACTCAGCCAAATACTTTATAAATCTAGCCCTTTTTACTACTCTAATGTGGATTCCCTTTGAGGTGGAAAATGGAAGCTAGAGCCAGATACAGTTCTGACTAATATACTATGTTTGTGATGCTTTTCACAAGCATTTTTGTTGTTGCTCTTCACAACTCATGGACCCTCATTGCTGGTCTTTTCCTGCAATGTTCCTAGTCATTTCTCATCTTCTATTTATGTGCCTTACCCATCCCCCACCCCTGCCATCTCTAAGCATAATTCTTGCTATTCGTACCTATTTCATTTCTTTTATTCTTATTGGCTTCTGATTTGTTTTGCTGTTCATTTTGTATTATATGCTTACTTACTGTACCTGCTTTTGAATCCATCCAAATTGATGACAGTGTTTAGAATCAACATTGATTAATTGATTGATTGAGACAGGGTCTCTCACTCTGTTGCCCAGACCAGAGTGCAGTGGGCACAATCACAGCTCACTGCACCCTGGACCTCACACCTAAGCCTCCCGAGTAGCTGGGGCTACAGGTATGTGCCACCATGCCTGGCTAATTTTTGTATTTTTTGTAGAGACTGGGTTTTGCCATGTTGTCCAGGGTGGCCTCAAACTCCTGAGCTCAAGCGAGATCCTCCTGCCTCAGCCAAAGTGCTGGGATTATAGGCGTGAACCACCACGCCTGGCCAGAATCAACCGCTTTAGATCAGTCCTCAGCCATCACCTAAGAGTCCCAGTAAACTCCTTATAAGGCTGAGAGGCAGTCACTGAGAGCCCTGCTTTGAACTTGACCGTCTCACGGGATTTACGTACTCTCTAATGATGGAATGATAGAGTGGTGGTGTCCAGTAGAACTTGCTGTGATAATGGAAATGTTCTATATTCTGTAAATGTCCATAGATATCTATAAATTTCTATAAATGTTCTATATTCGCCACTAGCCACAGGTAGCTGTTGAGCACTTGAAATGTGGCTTGTGTGACTGAAGAGCTGAATTTCCCATTTTAAATAATTGAAAATTTAAATTGCCTCATGTGGCTAGTGGTGGCCCATTGGACAGCACAGATGTATCTCATTGCTACTCAAAATGTGGTCCCCAGAACAGGAGCATTGCCATCACCTGGGAACTTACTAGAAATGAGGACTCTCAGGCCCATCTAGTTCTACTGAATAAGAGCTGCAGCTTCACAGTGTCCACAGGTGATTTCTGTGCCATTTAAGTTTGAGAAGCACTGATAACCGGCTGAACATTGGAGTCACATGGGGAGTTTTAAAAAAAAATCTGCCATCTGGGTCCCACCATAGTGATTCTGGTTTAATTGGAGTTAGGTGTAGCCTGGGTGTTGGGATTTTTAAGAACATCCCCAGGTAACTTTAGTTGGGCAGCAAGGACTCGCTATGGCTCAAACTTTTCGCGTATCTGAATCACCTAGGAATTTGTTTAAAAATACAGAGGCCCAGGATCCTTTCTGCCTCAGCAAGCCTCGGTCTCTGTATTCTTTATTAGCTTTCTGCAGATTCAGGTGCACACACTTTGGGCCTGAAAATCCGTGATGTAGAAGATAGTTTCCCACTTTGGTGGTAATTGGCATGTAAGCTAGAATGAAACGCCTTGCCGACGTTGAAGAAAATTGATCTGTTACACCTTTCAGTTATATTTCTACATGAATGATTTCGTGAATACTTGTTTTTCACAAAATGTGCCACTTGGTGTTTGTATACTGTTTTCGCTTGTAATTGTTTGTTGGTGAATGTCTTGTCTCTATGATAAGTTTTTCTCCCTCTACCTTTGTGGAAAAAAAAATTTTTTTGTAGAAGTAGAGTCTCACTATGGTGGCCAGGCTGGTCTCAAACTCCTGGCTTCAAGTGATCCTCCTGCCTTGGCCTCCCAAAGTGCTGGAATTACAGGCATGAGCGGCAATGCCTGGCTTTTTTTTTTTTTTTTTTGAGGCAGAGTCTTGCTCTGTTGTCAGGCGCCAGGCTGGAGTGCAGTGGCGATCTCGGCTCACTGCAACCTCCCCCTCCCGGGTTCAAGCAATTCTCCTGCCTCAGCCTCCTGAGTAGCTGGGACTACAGGTGCGTGCAACCTTTTTTTTTTTTTCTTTTATAGATAGAAGTATCATTAACATTTTGGTTTTCAGAATTGCGAAGAAGTCTGCTAATGACAGCTGGTAGTTCATGGTCAACTTGCCAGTTCCTTAAGGTCCAAATTGGAAAGCTTTTGGGATCAGAATGTTCTGTAATACGGAAGTGTCTGAGATCAAGAGAAGCCCAACCTCCAGCTACTACCACAGCCCCAGTCAGATGAGGGAGGTTGGCATGGAGTGATGATATCAAGGTGTCTGGTACATTCAGATCCTAACTAATTCCAGTCTTTAGGTGACAGGGTCAGTAGTGTTGCATTTGGCATGATTCTATCTTAGGAGCTGGGGAAGGAGTGGATAACTAGGTGACTTTTTCTTTTAAAAAATGTGCTGTTAAGTTTTGTATCCGCTAAAAGCTTTTATCTTTGTGGTACAGAAAGCTTTTGGTATGCTAGTGCAGCCAGCCTTTGTTAGGGCATGAGTTTATTAGCTATTTATTTATTGGAAATGTCATAAGAATTGATGATGATTTGGAAGAAGGAACAAATTCAGGTCCTCTACAAAAAATTAACTGCTGTTAAAAATGTGTCACATGCTGGGCATGGTGGCTCGTGCCTGTGATCCCAACACTTTGGGAGTCTGAGGTGGGAGGATTGCTTGAGCCCAGGAGTTCAAGATCAGCCTGGGCAATGTGCTGAAATCCTGTCTTTATAAAAAATACAAAAATTAGCCAGGTGTGGTGGTGTATGCCTGTAGTTCCAACTACTTGGGAGGCTGAGGTGTGAGGATAGCTTGAGTCAGGGGAGGTGGAGGCTGTAGTGAGCTGTGATTGTGCCGCTGCCCTGCAGCCTGGCAGACAGAGTAAGACCCTCTCTCAAAAAAAAAAAACTCCACAACAACACTATAGTGCCACATAATTGTCTTCAACTTCAGTTTCAGTCCTTGTGTTTCTCACAGTAAAATTTTAGGTGCAAAAAGAAGTGTGTGTTGTTTCAACCTGTGACGTTTCAGGACTCACAGAGCAAGGCAGCAGCATTTGCTTTTGCTTTCCCTGCCCAGGTAATGGAGTCTGAAATCAAAAGTAATTAATGTCATTGGCAAACAGTCATAAACTTGTGTCTTCATGGAGAGTAACTAGGCTATGTGGTCTTTCTGGGGCAGCAGTAGCAAGGAAATAATGAGGTGAAAGCACCCAGGAACGAAGGCCCCGTGAACACTGCAAAGACAGTTTGCTTGTTCTAAGTGGAGGTTTCTCCTGACTGGAAGGCTGTGACCCAGCTGAGCTGTGGAGAAACAGCTTGCTAAGGGGCTTTCCTGGGGCACCCTTTCTGCTGCTCTTCAGAGGACCCTGGACTGATAATAGGACTCTCTTGATTTCACCTAAAGCAAGGCTGTAACTTCTGCACAGCCTGATGCCAGGCTTGGAAACAAACCCTCAGAAAACAGCTCCCCTCAGTGAAGGAGTGGGAGCCTGTTTGCATTAGTGTGGAGAATTCTCCAAAAACCCACAGGCTGGGAGGCATTCTCACGGTGAGTCAGCGCAGCTTCTCTTAGGTTTACTGCAATTAAGGTGAGCATGAGAGCAGCCTGCCTCTCTTCTATTCTTCCAGCCATGGAGGCAGGCCCCATTAAAAACATGTTTCTTGGCCGAGTGTGGTGGCTCACGCCTGTAATCCCAGCACTTTCGGAGGCTGCGGCAGGCAGATCTCTTGAGGTCAGAAGTTTGAGACCAGCCTGGCCAATATGGTGAACCCTCATCTCTACTAAAAATACAGAAAGTGGCTGGGAGTGATGGCACACACCTGTAATCCCAGCTACTTGGGAGGGTGAGGCAAAAGAATTGCTTGAACCTAGAAGGCGGATGCTGCAGTGAACTGAGATGCACTCTAGCCTGGGTGACAGAGGGAAAGAAACCCCATCCCCCACGAAAAAATAAAGCTTGCTTCTTACTGGTGGAAGGAATAGAAATCAGTGGCCCACAGGGGCTCAGGCGGCAGTGGGAGTGAGAAGACCTCTCTTGACGTGTTCGTGGTAGGCCTCGGTGATGGACCCTGACTAGGATAGTTAGTGTGGAAACAAGCAGTTGAACACCATGTTTTGGCAAAATTCAAAGGCTGGGAGGTTCCCAAAGGCAAGGAGGAGGAGGCTGGTACCACAGGTCCAGGGCAGTGAGTTGAGTGGAAACTATGGGAAAGGTTTGTTTAGGAAGCATGGGAGACTCTTACCCCATATCCACGAAAGCCTGTTTTTTCCCAGCCTTGTGTTCCTTCCTTCATGACTAGACAAGTGCTTAAGAATGAAAGAGGAGGAGGCAACAATGATAGCTGGGGAGAGAATAAAGCCCTTTTGAGGAGGGGTTATATTCAGCAGGTGGGAGGAGGGGTTTCCCCGCTTTTGGGGAAGGGGGGATCATTGGAAAGGCATGGAATCTGGTGGGAATTTGGTGTTTTGACATTAATGCTCTCTGACATTGTTTTTGCCCTTTGGCTGTGTACCTAGTGTGTGTCAGTTCCTGGAGCTATGTCAGAGCCCAGAAGGTGGCTTTGGAGGCGGCCCTGGTCAGTATCCACACCTTGCACCCACATATGCAGCAGTCAATGCTTTGTGCATCATTGGCACCGAGGAGGCCTATGACGTCATTAACAGGTACAGGGAAAGCCATCAGTGACAGAAACCCTGAGGAGTTCTCCGCCTGCTGACACGCACTGACTGTTGCCTCTCCTGCCTCTTTCTCAGAGAGAAGCTTCTTCAGTATTTGTACTCCCTGAAGCAACCTGATGGCTCCTTTCTCATGCATGTTGGAGGTGAGGTGGACGTGAGGTGAGTGGGGTTTGGCACAGGCTGCCACATCAGTTGACTCTAGAGTTCATCTGCCATTAGAGACGCCAAGCCTAAGGAACATCCTGGGGAAGCTGCTGCATTGTCTTAGAATGACACATAGGATGACATATCAGTGACATGTCAGAATCATTCAGATGTGATACAGTGTAGGGTCCAGCCCTACAGGGTCCTGTGAGCCCCTCTCTACTGGTGTGGAGATGAGAAACTGGAAATAAGACACAAGACAGAGATCGAGAGAAAAAGAGTTTGGGCCCAGGGTCCACTACCAACCAAAGCACCGAGTCCGGCAGTGGCCCCGAGTGTCCACACACTCTAACTTTTATTGAATACAAAGCTGGGGGCAGGGTAGGTATGGCGAGGCATTGGTGGTCAGTGATAGGGTCAAGTGCATCACGTGTCATAGGGATGGGGGCCCAGAACTTTCAAGCAGCCAAGATGAGGTAAGGAGCATAATGCGTCAGCACTTTTTCCATACTTGACAAGAAAGAACAAAGACATTAAGATTTTTGTTGCTTTTACTGATTATATCATCTAAGAAAGGAACCAGGTGCAGAAGCAGAACATGAAAGTGGATATGGAACGTGACCACTGAAGCACAGCATCACACAGAGACAGTTAAGTCCCCTGACGTCTGCAGGCCTACCTGTGTCAGGCCCACCGCAAGAGCTTGGGGGAGCGGAGTTTTCTCCTAGCTCCTCCGAGGAAGGAGACACCTCCGAGGTCTCCTTCCATAGCATGCTAAACAGCAGATGCTTTTTCAGCACTGGTGTGCCCTCCAGCAGCCCTTACATGGGTGTGACAGAGGGCATAAAGCGTCTTGCCTTAGGGTCACTTCTTTCACAATGTCACCTTAGGTTCATACTTTAAGACCTGAGAGGCATTAGGAAAAGATTATGCTGAGTGTGTATATCTTAATGATTACCTATGAATAACTAAGATCACCTGTGAATAACTACTATGGTTATATCTCTAGTTATTTTCTTCATTATTTATATGGGAACAGCCTAAGGCTTCTGACTCCTGCCTGAGCACTTATGGCATCTCCCCCTCAACAATACAGATGTCCTGGGGTGTCATTATCACTTGGCTTATTTTATGTAAATGTCAAAACGTAAGACAGAAACAAATGCTTTTGTTTTAGAAATTAAAAATACATATGTTTGGTATAAAATGATATACCACAATATAAGTAACTGTATGGCGTAATGTATTCCTTCACCCCTCTGGGATAAGGAGGAGAAAGCCCAGCAGGGCCTCAGTAAATGCCTTCTGCGGGCATTTGATGAATCATGAGAATGTCTCACACCTGATGTCCTCCTGAGGCACATGGGAGTTTTTCTGGGAGGTGCAGAGAGCCTTGTGGGCCAAGAGAGTGCAGTGCAATTAAACCGCGTTAACTGATAAGTGCCAGTTGGCTTGAAGTTACTACTTTCCTCCATAAGTGTCTGATGTTCCAAGCAAGTTGCTTCCTCACCTGGCAGATTGCTTATGAGGCATACAAGGAATTCATTGAATAAGCCATTTCTCTAAGACAGTGGCTCATTGAGATTTTATGCCGTTTTCTTATTTAGTTGAGAAATACATTTTGTGAGGTTTCCATAGCAAAGCCATCTTTCTGCCTATGTGTAATTGGGTTTGCTTCTACACAAGTTAATATTCTGGCTTAAGCATCGGGCTTAACCACTGGTTTGAAAGTATAGGGGAGAAAAAAAAAACACGAATGTTGTAGAGCATAAAATATATTACAGATAATAGCGGCTAATCAGCCTGCAAAGGCCCTTAGTTAAGATATTCTTCTATTTCTAACTTGCCTGATCCAAACAAAAAATTAGATTTGGATCTGTATATACCAGTGAAGCCAGTGGGACTAGTGAGATAAAGCATTATGTATTGATTCTTCTTAAGGAAAACGTTAAAAGAGTTTATTCCCCTTGTAGCCACTACATTTTCCTTCCTGTCGTGTAGCTCTTCCCCTTAAATATGCACAGTCTTGAAACTTAGCTTTAAAAAACTTACTAAGATTATTAGGCAAAAGCAGACAAATCCTAGCAGGATCTTGGTATTTTATCAGGCCTTTTTCAGCTCTGATTATTTGCTACCTTATTCCAGAACCAATTTTTTTCTATGTTCTTTATTTATATGTGCTAGACAAATGCTAAGAAACTTCTCCAGTAAGACAGATTGGTTCCCCCGCAGAGCACCGTAGCCATAGTCTTCTCCAACCTTTGCTCTTTGGGTGATGCTCTGCCATTCATGCCTATGCTTTCTATTTATGTAAAGGACTAAATATATGAATGATGGAGAAAAGCTAGTAGATTGCATCTGTTTTCCTTGCTTTGCCTGGTTTCTAGTACCCCGATTCCATCATTTTTCACTTGGCACTTCTTTAATTGTCCTTTGCTTGGAAGCATCAGCCAATCCTCAGGAGTGCTTGTTTGGGTGAATTTGACTTGGAGAGAAGCAGCAGTGATCGGGGAGAGTTTGACATCTGGAAACCAGCTCACTGCCCTTCTGGTGTAGACAGCAGTCTCTGGATGATCTTTCTGCCCTGCTATACTGCTGATAGTTTCAGAGATGAGCCTACTCAAGGGTTTGTAACTCCAGTGTGCTGCAAAAAATCAAACCACAGTGAATTCATAGCAAGCACCATTTTTTCTCAAGTCTTAAGAAAGGAAGGAGTCATTATTCCTGACCTCCTAATCTAGGTTATATAATCTGAAACATTCTGTGAGGGTAATAAGGTAGAGGCGGGGATCTAGCATTGAAAAAGTTTGATGTGAGAGCAGGTGTTGTTCAAGAAAGGACAAGTTCAGTGTTGAAGTATAGATGGCCTGTTGGGCAGGGGAGCAGTGGAGCTGGAGGGACAGGCTGGGAACAGGCCAGAGAGGCCCTGAGATCTCCTATGGAGTCTGGAGTTTATTCTGAGGAGTTTTAAGGGAGCAGTAAGATCTGATCTGTATTTTCTTAGAAGTTCTCCAAGTGCAGTGATGGATTGTAGTATACCAATTAAAGCCCTCTGATTTCAGGGCTGGAGGGAGAGAGACCAGGAAGACTCCAGGCTGAAGAAGGCTTGAATTTGGGTGATGGCAGCAAAGATGGAAAGTTAGTGGACAAATTTGAGAGCTGCAATGACTGGGTGGAGGGAAAGGGCTAGAGATATATGAAAAGATTGTATCCTGTTTCCACCCTGGGACTCCTGTCTTCTGTCATCACTTCTTAGTTCTCCCACTTGTGAGAGGCAAACTGTATTATAGGTCACCTCCTACTTCAGAAGTCACAATAGGATTTAAGAGCAAATGCATTGGAGCCTCTTTAAGAGGCTCTCTACTGCAAGGAAATTAGATCAGGTCTTCAAAGTTAGCTAATGGTAGATGATCACATTTGGCATTGGCACATGTGACTCTTATGTGCTCCCAATGCCTGCTGGTGGAACTAAACCTCCACTGTGCCTTTGGCTGATAAAAATGCTGGTAGGATCATAATGCACGCAGCTTCTGCAGAGACTTCTTTGGAATACCTCAGTAAGTTTGGCTTCATGTTATGTCTATACTGAACAAGGTGGAAACGAGGGCCGAGCGTGGTGGCTCATGTCTGTAATCTCTATGGGAGGCTGAGATGAGAGAATCACTTGAGGCCAGGAGTTCAAGACCAACTTGGGCAGCATAGCAAGACCCTGTGTCTCTACAAAATTAAATAAAAACATTAGCCAGATGTGGTAGCCTACACCTGTAGCCCCAGCTGCTTGGGAGGCTGAGGCAAGATCAGCTGAGCCCAGGAGTTCGAGTTTGCAATGAGCCATGATAGCACCATTGCACTCTAGCCTGGGTAAACAAAGTGAGATCCTATCTTAAAAAAAAAAAGATGGGCTGGGCACAGTGGCTTAGGCCTGTAATTCTAGCACTTTGGGAGGCTAGATGGGCAGATCACCAGGTCAGGAGTTTGAAACAAGCCTGGCCAATATGGTGAAACCCGGTCTCTACTAAAAATACAAAAATTAGCTGGGCGTGGTGGCACATGCCTATAGTCCCAACTACTTGGGAGGCTGAGGCAGAAGAATTGCTTGAACCCATGAGGCCCAGCTCATTTTTGTATTTTTAGTAGGGGCAAGGTCTCACCATGTTGGCCAGGCTGGTCTCGAACACTTTTTTTTTTTTTTTTTTTTTTTTTTTTTGAGACAGAGTTTCGCTCTTGTTTCCCAGGCTGGAGTGCAATGGCGCGATCTCGGCTCACCGCAACCTCCGCCTCCTGAGTTCAGGCAATTCTCCTGCCTCAGCCTCCCGAGTAGCTGGGATTACAGGCACGCGCCACCACGCCCAGCTAATTTTTTGTATCTTTAGTAGAGACGGGGTTTCACCATGTTGACCAGGATGGTCTCGATCTCCTGACCTCGCGATCCACCCGCCTCGGCCTCCCAAAGTGCTGGGATTACAGGCTTGAGCCACCGCGCCCGGCCTCGAACTCTTGACCTCAAATGATCCACCTGTCTCAGCCTCCCAAAGTACTCGGATTACAGGTGTGCCCCTGGCCAGGAGAAGGATTTTTGAGCAGAAATTAAACCAGTGATTTTGTCTTCCCCATGCTGGATATTTGAAAAAACCATAGAGGGGAAGGGAAGGCAGTCTGTATATGTATTCCATGATAGAGGGAGAAGCTGAAATAAAATGTGCTCCAAGAAGAATTAGGGCTGGGAGGATGGAATGGCAAGAATGATTCCAAATCAAGTATAATAATTTTTGAAAAAAAAAATAGGCTGGGCGCGGTGGTTCACACCTATAATCCCAGCACTTTGGGAGGCCGAGGTGGGTGGATTGCTTGAGGCCAGGAGTTCGCAACCAGCCTGGCCAGCATGGCGAAACCCCATCTCCACTAAAAATGCAAAAATCAGCCAGGCATGGTGGCGTGGGCCTGTAATCCTAGCTACTCGGGAGGCTGAGGCAGGAGAATCACTTGGAGGCGGGAGAATCACTTGAGCCCAGGAGGTGGAGGTTGCAGTGAGCCTAGATCGTGCCACTGCACTCCAGCCTGGGCGACAAAGCGAGACCCTGTCTCAAAAACAAAAACAAAAAACAAAACAAATAGACGTGTACCTTTTCATTTAACTTGTGTGTCTGAGTGTGTACTGGGGAGGGGTTTGAAATCAAGGCTGTTTTCTCCCTGTAGAGGTTTAAGGAGTATATTGGAGTGGACTCACCTATTCCTATCCTTGTTTGGTCTATTACAGTTCGGTGGCCTGTTTTGCAGTTTATCTGTTACAGAAAAAGCATAGTGAATCTTTAGTGTGTCCTGGCTGTAAACAGAAATCCTGGATATGAAACAGTACTAACATCTGAATGAATGAGCATATCAAGAGTACCTGAATGATACCATCGATTTGTAGCAACCTTATAGACCTTTGAAAGAAGAGCTGAATCCACTTTTGACATGAATTGATCTGGCTGTTATTTCCTCTGATGTAGATTGGCCCATGTGGAGGTAGGGAGAATAGAATGTCATGTTCTTTCACTGAAGCCATGCCGTGAGCAACTCTATCCAAATAGAATGTCACACCTCTCAGTTGGAGACCCGGGAGGACTGACTGTGTGCCAGGAGTGAGGACAGGAGGTGATTACAGCTTACTAGGCAAGGCGAGCAGTTTGCCCTCGGAGTTCACTGAGCCTCATTAGCTCTTCTGTAGAGCTTAATGTGATTCCCATTTATGTCTTTCCAGAAGCGCATACTGTGCCGCCTCCGTAGCCTCTCTGACCAACATCATCACTCCAGACCTCTTCGAGGGCACTGCGGAATGGATAGCAAGGTGAGAGAAGCCAGGATTTCTCCTGGCCTCTTAGAGAGCAGACAGTCACGACTCTACTTCAGAAAAATAAAGAAAATGAAAAGGGACTTGGAAGGGAATACAAAAATCACAGGAGATACATTAGGTTTATCTAATGATTTTTTTTAAGTACTTAAAATGTCTTCCTTTTTCCAGTTTCTTTAATGCTATATTATATTTTAGACTGACAAAGATAAAAAAAAAAACCTTGGTAAACAATATTGGTGAGAGTAAATTGATTTAACCAGTTTTTAGAGCAATTTGACAATATATCAAAGGTGCCCTTGCGTAGGACCCAGTCATTCCACTCCTACAGAAACTCACACACACACAGGAGACAAAAGCACAGGACTTGTTTATACGAGCAAAAAGTGCTGCGCGAGGTGACTCACGCCTGTAATCCCAGCACCTTGGAAGGCCGAGGCAGGTGGATCACCTGAGATCTGGAGTTCAAGACCAGCCTGACCAACATGGAGAAACCCCATCTCTACTAAAAATACAAAAATTAGCCAGGCATGTGGTGCATGCCTGTAATCCCAGCTACTCAGGAGGCTGAGGCAGGAGAATTGCTTCAACTCAGGAGGCAGAGGTTGTGCTAAGCCAAGATCGTGAATTGCATTCCAGCCTGGGCATCAAGAGTGAAACTCCATCTAAAAAAAAAAAAAAAAGAAAGAAAGAAAAAAAAGAAAGCAAAAAGCTAGAAACAGATTCAGTGCTTATAAGCACGAGATGTGTAAGTGTGGTATAGTTGCATCAGCGTGTAATGTAGCAGTCAAAATGAATGAACTAGAGTTACGTGGATCAATATGGGAAAATCTCTATGTTGAGTTAAAAGAATGAAAAGAAGATACAAAGAAAACCCCAAAACCATACAGATTGCACATTTACTTAAAATTTGAAACATGCAAGAAAATTCTGTATTGTTTCTGAGAAGAATCATGTGGTAATAATATAGAAACATACATAGGAAAGATGAAACACCAAATTTAGCATGGTGATTCCTGCTGTGGGGAGAGCAAAGGAAATGAGATAAGTCTACACAAGAGACTTCAGCTGTAATAGTTAATGAAGACCTGAAGTGTATATGATTAATTCTAAGCTAGGTATTAGATACATGTATGTTCTATATTTTATTTGCTATACTTTCCTGGATTAAATATTTCATAATTTTAAAAAGTAAAAGGTATATGAGAAACATATTATGATGGAATGATAACCAAGCTGAGATACTGTTTTAGTTAAAAAAATTTTATTTTTATCAAAATAGTTATGTATTACCATGTAAATATAATTTACAGTGATCTCAGATGATATGTTGAAATCATATTTGCTTTTTTGTGTAACTTTCAATGCCCTGGAGTTAATGGATATCATGAATATACTTATCATGAATTCCTTCCCAAATTCTCTGTCAGAGCTATAAAAAATTACTCTAAACACAGTCAAACCCTTCGGGTAACCTGTCTCTGTGTGTGCGTGCGTTTTGAGTCGCCCTCCTGGAGCCCTCTGCCCTCCTGCTTCGGTCTGGACAGATTGCTCTCAGCTTGCTGCACGGCAGGCATCCCGAAGCTTCCTTTCAGCATGAAATTCACTTCACTTCTCTCTTTGTTGAAGTCGCTGTCCTCTTTTCTTGGTTTTCTTATTTTCATGAAGCGTGTACTTCAACAGATCCCAAAAAAGGGTACCTTGGAGATGCATTTTTAAGATCTTTTGTGTTATCTGTGTTCTAGTCTCACGCTTGATTATTTGGTTAGAGATTTTTAAATTGGAAATGTTATAAACTGTATTCTTTCTGAGTTTTGTAAGCATTGCTTTGTTATCTTATAGGTTCCAATGTCATTGTTAATAAGGCTGATAATAATAGTAACCAGTGTTTATTGAGGACTGTTACCCTCTCGTCAGGTAGCTATAGTTGACAGCTGGAGAGTAGGCACTGCCTGTGTTTGGTTCTCATTTATATTTTGTGTTTCTCAACTGAGATTTTCCATCTTTTTATTCTTTATGAGTGTATTTTTCTTCACTTTGCTGTGGTAAGTATGTAATTATAATGTCTGCTTTAAATTGCTTGTCTGGGAATTTCCACATCTGTGTGTCCTGAGTTGGCATGTCAGCTCCATGAGCATTCCTGTGCCGAGTGACATTGTGAAATGATGGTGGAGGTGTCATATAACAGAACAGTATGGATTCTGTTGGGTTGCTCTGAATGGTGTTGGTGTTTTCAGTTTAGCAGGCAATCAGCTTGGCCAGACTCAAGCTGCAAACAGCCCCTCCTGCAGTGACTCAGAGCTCAGTTCTTGCTTAGAAGTTGCTTTGTTTCCCCAGCACGTGTGTGGAAACTTGAACTGAGTTTAAACGCAGAATTTGGGATTTTTCTTCTTTGACTTTTCTGTTTCTGGATTCCTCTGCAGTTTCTGGCAGCCTTCGTCTTCCTGCCAGAAGGATGGTTGGCTTCCCATTAGAGGGTTGGCTGCCTGCCCCAGACCCCTGACCCCTGGCCTGCTGCTGCCACCCTGGGCTACAGCTGCCATCCTGAGGGCAAACCAGACAGAAAAAGTTGTGGGGGAAGGGAGGGACTAACTGTGTGTTGTTCTCTGTTCCAAGTTTCAAACTCCCCCAAAATCTGCCTGCCCTTTTTCAGTCAGCTGAGCCCTGGAAGCTGTTTTTTGTATTTTGTTTAGTGTACAGCTGTCATTTGCAGGAGAGTTGATTGGTTAGGCACTGACTAGACACGGAACTCTGACAGCCTGGCTTTGAAGCCCACTTTTGCCCTTGCTCTGCTCTTCTCTCTTCTTCTCCTTTCTTTCTTCCTCTTTCTCTCTTTTTTGAGACAGAGTCTTACTCTTTTGCACAGGCTGTAGTGTAGTGGTGTGATCACAGCTCGATACAGCCACCACGTCCCGGGCACAGGCAGTCCTCCCATCTCAGCTTTCCAAGTAGCTGGGACAACAGGCGCATGCCACCATAACTGATTAATGTTTAGAAAAATTTTTTGTAGAGATGGGATCTGTCTGTGTTGCCCAGGTGGGGCTTGAATTCCTGGGCACAGGCCATCCACCCACCTTGACCTCCCAAAGTGCAAGAATTACAGGCATCAGCCACTGCGCCTGCCTTTTTTTTCTTTTTTTTTTTGAGACAGGGTCTTGCTCTGTTGCCCAGGCTGGATTACAGTGATACGATCATGGCTCACTGCAGCCTTGACCTCCTGGGCTCAAGCAGTCTTCCCACCTCAGCCTCCTGAGTAGCAGAGACCACAGGTGTACACCATGACACCTAGCTAATTAACATTTCTTATAAAGACAGAGTCAAACTGTGTTGCCAGGGCTGGTCTTAAACTCCTGGTTTCAAGCAGTCTTCCTGCCTCAGTCTCCCAAAGTGCTGGAATCACAGGTGTGAGCCACCATGGCCAGCCTGCCATTTCTAATTAATTCGTGCTTGGGCAAGTTATTGCACTGCTCTGTGTCATAGTTTCCTTATGTGTCAAGTGGTGGGATACTGAATTTTATTAATTTAATTTATTTGTTTTTTGAAACAGGGTCTCACTTTGTCACCCAGGCTGGGGTGCAGTGGTATGATCTTGGCTTACTGCAGCCTTGACCTCCTGGGTTCAAACGATCCTCTTGCCTCAGCTTTCCAAGTAGCCAGGACTACAGACGCATGCCACTGCACCTGGCTAATTTTTGTGTTTTTAGTAAAGACGAGGTTTCTCCATGTTGCCCAGGCTGGTCTTAAACCCCTGAGCTCAAGCAATCCTCCCAAAGTGCTGGGATTATAGATGTAAGCCACCACACCTAGCTTTTAAATTTTATATTAAGCTGAAATACAAAGAAATCAAGTGGATTCCATTGTGCTGTACTGCCTGCCAGTGCCATTGAGATTCCTAATTCTCTTTATGTTTTTTTTCATCTGTCTCTTTCTCTATCCCCATCCTGCCCTCCTTTAAGGCTTACTCTTTTTTTTTTTTTTTTTTTTTAATTTTTGAGAGGGAGTCTTGCTCTGTCACCCAGCCTGGAGTGCACTGGCATAATCTCAGCTCACTGCAACCTCAGGTGCCTGCCACCATGCCCAGCTATTTTTTGTATTTTTACTAGAGATGGGGTTTCACTGTGTTGGTCAGGCTGGTCTCAAATTCCTGACCTCAAGTGATCTGCCCTCCTCTGCTTCCCAAAGTACTCGGTTTTACAGACATGAGCCACTGTGCCCAGCCTGGAATCTTTGTCCTTGTTTGGAAACTTGATGATGAATCTTGATGTGGATTATTTTTCATTCATTGTGCTGGGCACTCAATTTGGAAGTACATATGCTTTAGTACCAAGAAACTTCATTATAGTATTTCTTTGTAATTCTCTTGCATTTTCTGTGTTTGCTTTTTTGTTTGGTTGGTTTTTTTTTTGTTTTTTTTTTTTTTTTTAGTCTTGCTGTTGTTGCCCGAGCTGGAGTGCAGTGGCACAATCCTGGCTCACTGCAACCTCTGCCTCCCAGGTTCCAGCAATTCTCCTGCCTCAGCCTCCTGAGTAGCTGAGATTACAAGCTCCCACCACCATGCCTGGCTAATTTTTGTATTCATAGTAGAGATGGGGTTTCACCATGTTGGCTAGGCTGGTCTTGAACTCCTGACCTCAGACCCCAGGTGATCTGCCTACCTCAGCCTCCCAAAGTGCTGGGATTACAGGCATGAGCCACCACTCATGCATCCATTTTTTTTTTCTTTTGGGACAGGGTCTCACTGTGTCTCCCAGGTTGCAGTGCATTCATGCTATCATGGCTCACTGCAGCCTTGACCTTCCAGGCTCAAATGATCATCCCACCTCAGCCTCCTGAGTAGTTGTGACTATAGACATCTACCACCATGCCCAGCTAATTTTATAAACTTTTGTAGAGACAAGGCCTTACCACATTGCCCAGGTTGGTCTCAAACTCCTGGGCTATAAACTCTCTTTGGTAGAGACAAGGCCTTACCATGTTGCCCAGGTTGGTCTCAAACTCCTGGGCTCAATCCTCCCGCTGTGGCTTCCTGAAGTCCTGGGATTACAGGTGTGAGCCACGATGCCCAGCCTCTTAGGATTGATTGGGACGGAGCCTTGCTAGTAGAGACGGGGTTTCACCATGTTGATCAGGCTAGTCTCAAACTCCTGACCTCAAATGATCCTCCTGCCTTGACCTCCCAAAGTGCTGGGATTACAGGCATGAGCCACAGCACCTAGCCAGAATATGACATCCCATTAGCACATTTGATTGACTGACTTTTAAAAATAATTTGTTGCCTGGTTTCCATCTCTTAATCCTTCTTCTTGTATTTTGAGAGATGCTCTTACTATTTCACTTCTAATCCTCTTGTTTTTATTGGTGTAATCCTATTTTTGGTTTTCCAGAGCTCAGTTTTACTCCCTGACTGCTTTTTTATATACTTGTTCTTTTCTGGAGATATTTTATCCTTTCAGGAGTCTTACTTCATATAATATTTTATGCAAGATACAACTTTAAAAGGTTTTCTTCTGTTTTCTGTCTTATTTTCTTCCATTTATTTTTGTTTTGGTCTCCTTCTCTTTCATAGGAGAGACTGTTGTCAAATGTCTGGTACTCTACAGCTGTCTGTTCATGTTTAAGGGACCAGCAGTGAAAAGCTGCTTGGGAGCTCTGTGTGAGGGTCATCAGGATCAAGCCATTCGTTGGGGAATTCACAAAGCAGTATCTGTAGGCTCTTTCCCTTGGGCTTATCAGTTCCCTCAGAGAGGAATCTTCTCTATTCCGGCTTGGAGTATGAAACTGGCAGCCTTGTGTGGAATACACAAAGGGAATGCGGCTAGGGGTATCATATTGAGATTGCTGACTCTCAATCCCATTTGCTACAGTCCTCCTTCCTCCTCTTAGCTTGTTGGAGAATCTGTAATTCAGATCCTTTTGATTAAACCTCAGAAACTTCCCATCTTCTGCTGGCTTTGAATAGGGGACTTAAAGGTCTGATTCTTATATAGGTTTGCAACCAACCAACTTGGTTCAGATGCATTTCACTTTGCAGAGGTACCCTGTCTCTTTAATCTTGGAACCTTTTATTAGAGCAGATCACCTTGCTTTTTTTTTTTGAGATGGAATTTCGCTCTTGTTACCCAGGCTGGAGTGCAATGGCGTGATCTCGGCTCACTGCAACCTCCACCTCCTGGGTTCAGGCAATTCTCCTGCCTCAGCCTCCTGAGTAGCTGGGATTACAGGCACAGGCCACCATGCCCAGCTAATTTTTTGTATTTTTAGTAGAGACGGGGTTTCACCATGTTGACCAGGATGGACTCGATCTCTTGACCTCTTGATCCACCCGCCTCTGCCTCCCAAAGTGCTGGGATTATAGGCTTGAGCCACCGTGCCTGGCCGATCACCTTGCTTTTTGCTGCCCCTCTCTCACACCTACCGTTTGGCTAGGGAAGGTTTCTCTATTCTGCTAAGTCAGTTATTTCTTACCCTTCTTGTGTTAGTCCATTTTGTATCACTGTAAAGGAATACCTGAGGCTGGGTAACTTATAAAGAATAGAGATTTATTTGGCTCATGGTTCTGCCATCGCCACCTGGCCTAATTATAATTTTTAAAAAATTATTTTTGAATAGTATAAAGATTCATTATAAAAACTTTTTGAAGAAAAAGTAGAACAAAAAGGAAAAATATTGATTGCCAGTAGACTTGTTCTCAAAGATCACCAGAGGCCAGGTGCAGTGGCTCATGCCTGTAATCCCAGCATTCTGGGACACTGAGGTGGGAGGATTTCTTGAGACCAAAGTTCAAGACCAGTCTGGGTAACATGGCAAAGCTCCATCTCTACAAAAAATACAAAAACTTGGCTGGGTATGGTGGCACGCACCCATACTTCCAGCTACTTGGGAGGCTGATGTGAGAGGATTACCTGAGTTCAGGAAATCAGTTGAGGCTGCAGTGAGCCGTGATCTGTAGTCAGCCTGGGTAACTGAGTTTAGACCCTGTTTAAAAAATAAAAGATCAACAGAATTAGCAATCACTTTTCAATTTTATTTTAACTTGATGGTTATCACCCTGTATATATATGATTTTATAACTTTTTCCCAAAGAGTAATACTTTGAATTACTGTTTCTTACACAAGTAGGCTGTTTCTGAGTGTCTGGGTTTTTAACATTTTATAGTTTTTATTGTACTTATTTTTTTAGAGACCTAGTCTCGCTTGTTCACCCAGGCTGGAGCACAATGGCGTGATCATAGCTCACTGCAGCCGTGGACTCCTGACCTCAAGTGATCTTCTTGCCTTAGTCTCCTGAGCAGCTGGGATTACACATGGGAGCCGCCAGGCCCAACTTCTTTTTTTTTTTTTTTGAGAAGACATTTCCAAAAGTTAATTAGTTGGCATCTTTTTTTTTTCATTCATAGTTGTGATGGCTCACACCTTAATCTGAGTGAACTCTTTCTCTGCCACCTAGGATGGTCCTGGACTTGTGTATGTCCACTCACCCGCCACTCAATCTGCTTTTCTCAATCTCTTCTTAGGTGTCAGAACTGGGAAGGCGGCATTGGTGGGGTACCAGGGATGGAAGCGCACGGTGGCTATACCTTCTGTGGCCTGGCTGCGCTGGTAATCCTCAAGAAGGAACGTTCCTTGAACTTGAAGAGCTTATTAGTAAGTGTCTTTTGAGCCATCCTCCCCCTAGGCCCCAGGTCATTGTGATGTGATTGTACTCAGACACGCAGGCTTCAGGAGAGCTTGGCTATGGGAAGGGCTAACAGAGTTAGCTCTGTTCCAATACAGAGGAAGGAGTGAACAGCTGCTCTGTCTTGGCTCCCCTTTCTGCCTTTCTGTCTTCCTGCTTAGAACTTTTAATAGTGTGTAGACTACATAGACTGTGTCCTGCAGACATCTGGTGTGAGCAGAGTACCTTCCTTATACTTCAGTTTTGTAGAATTAGAGGTTATTGTACGTTATAGAAAGAATCTCCTAAGAGGAAAAGTTATAAGAAGAGCTTTGCAGCATTTTGAAACCAAACTTTTATTGCCTGCTGCACTATATAAACATTTAGTACTGAAATTTAATGAGTTGTCTAGGCAGAGCTGGCTAATTGCATTGAGAAGGCAGCTCAAGCATTTATATCTGGACCCCAAGCTCCTGGCCAATATTCAGAAGCTCAGAAAGCAGTCAGCTTCAGGGAGTCACTAGATTATAGTTAAATGATGAGTGGGTGCACAGACACACCTCCACAGCCACCAAGGAGAAGGCATTCCCTGTCATGTCATTTGGGGAGCATGTACTCCCTGACCATGATTTCAAAGCAAACCAGCTGCAAGTGACATGCAGCGCCTCTCCCTGAGTTCAGATGCCAGGCTTCTGTTGTGCGGCTCATCGTGAGCTTCCTGGAGAGTTTCTGTTGTACTCTGTAGAGATGTAAGCCGCAGTGTCTTGCCTCCACCTTCAGAAAGCCTCCCCCAGCATAGTCTTTTTAAAGATTCATGAAAGCTTGAAGGCTTATGCTGAAACGGCCAACTTTGTGTGCTGAACTTGAGAGTTTCTCAGATGTTTTAAAATCTGATCACCAGTAAGAGATGAAATGAAAAAGTGCCATATATATCCCAGGCAGAAATCAGGAATGTGATTAGGGAGTCGTCAGTTATGATGCCAGTGTTCTAGATTTGAACCCTGTCCCTACTGCTTCTGAGATGTGGGACCTTGGCCAAATTGTCTAATCTCTTTTAGCTTGATATTTTTTTATTTTATAAGGTAGGGACAACAATCCTTTTTTTTTTTTTTTGAAACAGAGTTTCGCTCTTGTTACCCAGGCTGGAGTGCAATGGCGCCATATCAGCTCACTGCAACCTCCACCTCCTGGGTTCAGGCAATTCTCCTGCCTCAGCCTCCTGAGTAGCTGGGACTACAGGCATGCACCACCATGCCCAGCTAATTTTTTGTATTTTTATTAGAGACGGGGTTTCACCATGTTGACCAGGATGGTCTCGATCTCTTGACCTCGTGATCCACCCACTGTGGCCTCCCAAAGTGCTGGGATTACAGGCGTGAGCCACCGTGCCCAGCCTTCAATCCTTATTTTTTGAAGGTTAAAGGAAAGAACATTTATAAACAGCCTGGCACATAGTAGGTGCTTAATAAATGTTAGTGTCCCTCTAATCCAGAGTAATAATCTTTTTGGCACAAGGGAGACAGTTTTTGTGGGAGACAGTTTTTCCGTGGACCTGGGGTTGGGGGATGGAATGGGGCTGATGGTTTTGAGATGATTCAAGTACACTACATTTATTGTGTACTTTATTTTTATTATTATTACATTGTAATATATAATGAAGTAATTTTACAACTCACTATAATGTAGAATCAGTGGGAGCCCTGAGCTTGTTTTCCTTCAACTAGACGATCCCATTTGGGGGTGATGGGAGACAGTGACAGATCGTCAGGCATTAGACTCATATAGAACATGCACCCCAGATGCCTGGCACACAGTTCACAATAGGGTTTGCGTTCCTCTGAGAATCTAATGCTACCGCTGATCTGTCAGGAGGTGGAGCTCAGGCAGTAATGTGAGCAGTGAGGAGCAGCTGTAAATGCAGATGAAGTTTCTTTGGCTCACCTACCACTCACCTTCTGCTGTACAGCCTGGTGTGGCCTGGGGGTTAGGGACCCCAAACTACTTCCATTCGCTTTGGGAGAAGTAGGACCCGTATCTGAAGTATGAATTCTTATAGCCCAAGGAAACAGAACAAATCCATGGGCTTGGGCCCTGGAAAAAATAAACTAGTCTGCTTAAAAACATTTCAGCCCTGCGTTAAGTAGAAATGAAGAATGGACTTCCTGCTGCAGCGCCTGCTTTCTCTTTACCTGACTAATGTTTAGTCCACTTCCATTACCTGCTGGAAGCACTGCTTCATTTAAGACCAACCAAGGATATCTTAAGTACCTGAATCTGCAGTGCAGTGTTTTATGTCTCTTTTAAGAATTTGTGACTGTGACTCTCTATGGGCAGGTGTTGCCTTGAACACGGATATAATCTAAACTACAGCTTTTAGGGGAGGGCTGGCCCCCACTTCCATCAAGGGTCCCAGTGGCTTCTTTCCGGAACTTTACCTAGTAAGACTCTAGATACAGGGAATGCCCTACCCTGTGCCCTTTCAGCTCAGTGAGGCAGCTCTGTAAGTCTGTGGCTGGAATGGTCTAGGTGGGCTAGGGAGGGAAATGGAAATGTCGTATCTGCTCAGCCAGTTGGTTCTGCTTATTCCCAGGGACCAAGCCCATGACTATCTTGATCTAGTAGAGTGTGTTTAGAAAACTTGTAGATAAGCAAGGAATGGTGGTATCGTGTGTGACCACTGAGTGACATCAAGACGTATTTTACATCTTCACAGTAAAGGATTTTCTTATATCAGCCACAGATGGACAGAGTTGTCATTTGGTAATCAGAATGGATGGTGTCTGCTTTTAGGCCTGCTGGTGACTTGCTAAGAGACCTTGGGTCAATTTCCCCAGGTGCCAAGTAAAAGTGAGAAGCCCCTTGAGATCATATGATGACATGTAGCACAAAATTTCATTTATCTGCTTTTAATAAACTTCCCTGAGGAGGGAAGTAATAAGAAATGAGTCACTGGTAGTCTTGCCTCAAATTTCCAACTTAAGCCATGTTTATTCAGAGACTTTGAAGATCTCCTTACAAACCAGCTTGGCCTCTTTATCCTCTCAGCACTGGCACTGCTTTGGAACCCAGGAAAAGGTAGTTGTCTGCTAGACATTGAGCAGAGATCAGGGCTGGATGCCTCCAGGATTGGCTTAAATGCTTCACTCTCTGTCTGTGGCAGTGAGGGGAGGAAAAGGAAGGAAACTGGAGTGCCAAGCAGCCACGAGATGGGAAACCCTCCATCCACAGATTGATTACTGGAGATCCTGTTGGGCTGGATTTTGTCTCTTTTAGGCTACAACTGCCTTTCCCATCTGTGTCTCCTCAGCAATGGGTGACAAGCCGGCAGATGCGATTTGAAGGAGGATTTCAGGGCCGCTGCAACAAGCTGGTGGATGGCTGCTATTCCTTCTGGCAGGCAGGGCTCCTGCCCCTGCTCCACCGTGCACTGCACGCCCAAGGTGAGCCCGGGGAGCGGTTTGCTGGGGCTAGATGATTGCCTTCCACTACTCACAAGGTCTGGAAGCCCAGCATGCTTTTTTAGAGGTGTTGAAATGAGCTCTGTCTCTCCTGGATTTTGAGTGCCCTGTGTGGAACCTCATGCCACGGGGCATGCGAATGCAGAGTACAATTTGGTTTCATTGGTTTAGTGTCATTCTTTGCTTCTTCAAATTGGCTATGACAGAATGAGCTCCCTTGAAATTGCTACGGGGAGCAGGGAGGAAGTGGGTGCTGCTTCTGTGTTATCTGGAAGGAGCAGCCCACTCCTGTCCTGGGCTCTTTGGTGACTGCCATCTCCTCTGAGTTCAAGGCAGAGCTGAAAACCCACGGTGTTGCAACAGTCACTGTCGCAACGGCAACAGGAAAGGCAATTGCCTAAAGGGGTAAAGAACCAGAACCCATGGAGAAAAAACTCACCGTGTCTGGCTGCAGAGTTGTCACCGTTAGAAATGTTTTATGTTACATTCATTGAACAAGCCTAATGTGAGTTTGTTCCACCTGCACCATTGGAGTAGAAAAATCCACATTCATTTCTGTGGGGTCTCAAATGGGAATGCAAAACCAAAGTAGTTAGCAAGCAAAAACTCAGGAACATTTTCTCCTTTTCTCTTGAAACCTCAGTCTGCCTGCTAACTCCTGCACCATCTTTCTCATTTACTTGATGTGAGAGCAGGTGTCTCTGAGTAGACCAGTGGGAGAGGGGGCGTCTTGGGGCCCTGCTGGTTGCTGATCTGTTTTTGGAGTAAGATCCCTGAGTCCAGAGAGAAGCTGTTCTTTGGGCTTAGTTGGATAATGTAACTGTCCAAATATAAAAGATGAGATTCTTTTCTGTCCCTCCTCACACTTTTTCTCCTTGTTTAACTGTTTCTGAGCCCCACTTTTTTTTTTTTTCCCCAAGATGGAGTCTTGCTCTGTTGCCCAGGCTGGAGTGCAGTGATGTGATTTCAACTCACCATAACCTCTGCCTCCCAAGTTCAAGCAATTCTCCTGCCTCAGCCTCCTCAGTAGCTGGGACTACAGGCATGCTCCACCACGCCTGGCTAATTTTTGTATTTTTATTAGAGACAGGGTTTCACCATGTTGGCCAGGCTGGTCTCAAACTCCTGACCTCAGGTGATCTGCCCACTTCGGCCTCCCAAAGTGCTGGGATTATAGGCGTAAGCCACCACCCCGAGCCCTGAGCCCCATTCTTGAGCTTCTTAATTTCCTTTGAGTTGTTGAGTTGTGACCATTTCTGACACTGGATTAAGGTAACAGAGTCCCCGCCCCATTTTCCCGGCCTGGGCCCACTGGGCTTTAAGTGTTAGTATTAAGGTGTATAAGGCACTCAAGTGCTCTGTCAGCAAGTGCGGTAACTCTGGAGGCTGCATAGTCTCTGCCTTGACCATTAGTAGGGAAGTCGGGAATTCCCCAAGCCCAGTATTTCTAAGTTAGAAAAAACTTGGGGTCACGGTGATCTCACGGTGAAAACTGGTGAGGTCAACCCCTGGTAAAACTGCCAGTCTTTTACAAACCTGTCCCTGGCATGGATAAGCTGCAGTAATTCTGCAATCCCAGGGAAATCTGGAGAGAGCTCTAACAGGAGTACCAGCTGCCAGAGTCTTCCGGGGGGGCTGCTGGTTAACATTTTGTTTATTGTAGTACATGTTCTAGAGGGCTTGATGGCATTCCATGCTTTGTCTGCGGAAAAGACTGCCCGTGAGTCTTGGTGTTTCCAGCTTTTTTCATTGTCTGGGAGAAGGCCTGTGTTGTCTGAGGTTCTCCTCCTCCTCAGACACAGGGCATCTCTTGAACTTGGAAAGGCGTCTGGAAAGAAGGGAAGTGTATTGAGAGGAGGGCAAAATACTGACCTTGGGAGTCAAAAGGGGATGCAGTGTAGAAAGATAGTCACAATATATACTGGTCATATCAAAGCAGTATGTGTGTAATCCCGTTTTTAGTGAAGAGTTGACTCCAAAAAATTCATAGAAAGTATCTAGGATGTGAAATTACAGGTGGTGTTTGTGTCTTCTCTTGTTTGTATTTTCTAATCTAGAAAGATTAGAAAAAGTATGTATTTCTTGCATAAAGGCAACAAAAGTTACTTTATAAAAACAGGGAAATTCTACAAACAACAGCAGGGTGGGGGAAATATCTGTGACAAGTGATGAATGGCTAGTTTTTTAATTCGAAAAAAATCATACAAATCAGTAACGAATGGATGGACAACCCAAGTGAAAAACAGGCAAAGGATCTGAAGAAAGAAGTCCCCGAGAAAGAAATGTTCTTACTTTTTCTACTACAACTGCTGCTATTACTGGTAGCGGAGATATCTCAAGTGCTCACTGTATGCCAGGGGCTGTACTGAGCTTTTGACCTGTATTTTTTCATTTGATTCTCAAAACAACCCTATGAAATAGGTTCCATTATTTACAGATGAGGAAACAAAGTGCAATGAGGCTAAGTGACCTGCTTTATAATACCTGATTGGCACTCCCAGAGGTTAGTATGTGGTTGTGTGAATCCAGACTAGCTGGCAGGAGAATGCTGCCCTGCTCATAACTACAGAAGGTGGCCATTAATCCAATGAAAAGTTGCTCAGCTCACTTGTAGTTAAAGAAATGCTAATCAAAAGAGTGGCACCATTTGTTTTTCTTACCGGATTGGCAGAGATTAAAATACTTGATACCCTATGGTGAGGAAGAGTGAGAAAATAGGTCCTTTGTTACTGTTAGTGGGGAATGTAAAAAGGTAAATCATTTTTTTGGAGGGCAGTTTGGAGACATCTGTTTAAATTATAAGGGTGCTTACCCTTTGAACACAGTGAGTGCGCTGTCAGGAATTTACCTGCAGAGATATTAGCAAAGGATGTATATCGAATTGGAGTTTTAATAGCAGCCTAAATGCCCATCAAAAGGTTAAAGGTTAAATTATAAAAATCTCTCCAGACAGTAGCTGCATACCATAGGCTGGTATGGAAAGCTCTCCGAGATACAACATGAAGCATAAGGAGGGGGGGCCTGGAAGAGCCCCTGGGCACACAGGCTGGGATGTACACAGCTTTTCCTAGAAGCCTACCCAAAACCCCTTTAACAATGGGTGCCTTTGGGAGATGAGTAGGAGACAGAGGGAGGGACACTTAACTTTTTAGATTTTTTTTTTTGAGATGGAGTTTCACTCTGTCCCCCAGGCTGGAGTGCAGTGGCATGATCTCGGCTCAGTGCAACTTCCGCCTCCTGGGTTCAATCAATTCTCATGCCTCAACCTCCTGAGTAGCTGGGATTACAGGCATGCGCCACCACACCTAGTTAATCTTTTCTATTTTTAGTAGAGATAGCGTTTCACCATGTTGGCCAGGCTGGTCTTGAACTCCTGGCCTCAAGTGATCCACTTGCCTTGGCCAGACTACGTGCTGGGATTACAGGCATGAGCCACTGTGCCCAGCCAACTTTTTAGATTTTGTGTCCTTCTGTATTATACTGTGCCCTTTTTAAGAAACCATGTGCATTACTAATTTTATTTTGGTAAATGCACAAATACATTTTTTAAAAGGCATTGATCATATTGCTAACTCAAAAGCAAACAGAAGGCTCTACATAGTGCAGCATGTGGGTCTAGGCCATGCTCTGACCTGACAAGTGACCCATCAGTGGCTCCATGCCAATGACTACCTTCCATGTGTAGATGACAGTATTTGAGTAGAAGAAGGAAGTATTATTAATAGCTTAAAGCGCTGGGCATAATGGTTCACACTTGTATTCCCAGCACTTTGGGAGGCCAAGGTAGGAGGACCTCTTGAGCACAGGAGATCAAGACCAGCCTGGGCAATATAGTGAGAGCTTGTCTCTACAAAAAAAATTAAAAACAGTTAACCAGACATGATGGCATGTGCCTGTAGTCCTCCTAGCTACTCGGGAGGCTGAGGTGGAAGGATCCCTTGAGTCTGAGAGGCAGAGGCTTGCAGTAAGCTGAGATCACGCCACTACACTCCAGCCTGGGTGACAGAGGCAAGACTCTTGTCTCAACAAAGAAAAAAAAGGCTTAAAAATATCAAGTGCTGACTAAATCAGTAAGTTATTTTGTTTTTTGTTTTGTGGAGCAAAAGAAAGGAGCAGGCCTGTGAGTTTCTGTTTGGCTTGGTAGTTACTGGCTTCTTGTATGTTCTTTGGTACATACCCTGGACTTTTATTGCCCACCTGTGAAATTGAGCTACAGATGGCTGCACCTATCAGTTATGTTTTGGAACGACTTTTGATTTTTTTAGATAAAAGGAACCTTTGACATTAGCATGCGGACCTATAATTTCAGGAAGAGGTAGAAAGGATTTAAAAGGCCGGTTCCAGTGCACAGTTACCACCCTGTAATCATATCTGCTTTCATCTTGTTGTGATTATGTGTACTGGTGTCCAAATTCAGGATTTCTGGAAGCTCGTTGTAGAGATTTTGAACTTCGAGTTTCTAAGCTTCAATAATATAGGAAGTCACTGGAACAGTCTATAATCTTTTAAATAATAAACATAGCGTTTTCTTTTCAGATTCTAATTTTAGCCACATGTTATCATTTACCTTATAATCAGTCTTTTATTTGTTATAGGATATGACATAGATGTATATTTTGTACACATGTGTAATGCAGTTTCTAAAGTTTAATAAATATGCTTTTTAAGTAACAGCTTTGTTAAGGTATAATATACCATACAACTTATCTATTCAGTTGTGAACCATCATGAAAACAATTTTAGAACATTTTCATCACTCATCCCCCCAAAAATCCCCATACACATTAAATATTGTTTCAAAAAAATTTAAATATTTTTTTAAAAAGGAAATCACAAAGGAAAAATTAGTCTGATTATGTTAAGTATAAAACGTGTTTTATATTAAATTTTAAAATTAATTTTAAAAAGTTTTAAACTCACGTAACCAAAACAGAAGAGCAAAAAGGAGAAAATAGGTGCCACATATGATGTAGACAGAGGGCAAATACAGGACAAAGCTAGATTAAAAAATTGGCTGTTAGGTCTCAGAAGATATAGTCCAAACAGATATCATCATAAGGAAATGCAAAAATTAAACACAAGTTATGGAAAAATTTCCCCCCAGTTAGTAATCAGAGGCGTGCAAATCAGAATAAACTATCAGGTACAATTTCTTTTTACCATTTTAGTTGCTAAGAACTTTTAAAAAGTGACTAAAGCTGGCCAGGCACAGTAGCTCACGCCTGTAATCCCAGCACTTGGGAGGCCAAGGTGGGTAGATCACCTGAGGTCAGGAGTTTGAGACCAGCTTGACCAACATGGTAAAACCCTTCTCTACTAAAAATACAAAAAATTAGCCGGGCGTGGTGTCTCCTGCCTGTAATCCCAGCTACTCAGGAGGCTGAGGCAGGAGAATCACTTGAACTCGGGAGGTGGAGGTTGCAGTGAGCCGAGATCGCACCACAGCACTCCAGCCTGGGTGACAGAGCGAGATGGCCTCTCAACAGCAACAAAAAGTTGCTAATGCTGGAGGTGGCAGAGTAAAATTGTAAATTTTGCTGGCAGCTATAAAGTCTTTATTTTTAGTTTTAGTTCATTTATATATTTATTTTTGACTGTTTCTACAGAGCAGGGCTACTCCACAGGCAAGAGTAGCCCTATAGACTACTCTTAGTGCTAAGAATAGTCTATAAATTCTTAAAGCAGTTTATCCATATCTATTAATAGCTTTAAAAATGTTTATTCCCTTTAACCAAATAATTCCACTATGGTCAATCTATTTGAAGAAAATAATTCTAAGCATAGATAATATTCACAAAGATTTAGTGCAGCATTACTGACAATGGCAAGGAACTGGAAACAACCTTGGAAATAAGTAAAAGAAGGTAGAGTGAAGTCCCATCATGTGTGTATGTATCTTCTATACAGTCCACTGTGCTTACAGGTGAGGAAAAGAAAGGAAGGGGATTAAAATATTGTGAGTGTATCAAAGCATGTGGCCTGCAGCCAGCCTGAGATGGTAGACTGGATGCGTCTCCTTAGGTCGGGCTCAGTTTCCTGTGTCTCTTAATGGGTGTTTCTGGGTGAGTGTGACTCAGGGTTGAAGATGAGAGGCTTTTGTTCCTGGCCTTCAAATGTCAGCTGGCCACTGTCCCTCATCTAGTGCTCAACCTTGAAAACCCTTCCCCCATCTTTTTCTCTGTGTCTGTTTTTTAAAGAAATATAATAAATTATTATTTTCTGTTTGAAATCTTCAACAATTTGGGCTAGGCGCAGTGGCTCATGCCTATAATCCCAGCACTTTGGGAGGCCAAAGAGGGTGGATCACCTGAGGTCACGAGTTCGAGACCAGCCTGACCAACATAGTGAAACCCTGTCTCTACTAAAAATACAAAAATTAGCTGGGCATGGTGGCACATGCTTGTAATCCCAGCTACTCAGGAAGCTGAGGCAGGAGAATCCCTTGAATCCAGGGGGTGGAGGTTGCAGTGAGCCAAAATCATGCCATTGCCTCCAGCCTGGGCAACAGAGTGAGACTCCATCTCAAAAAAAAAAAAAGTAAATATTCAACAGTTTAATATTTTGCTTAAATCTCTTTATGGACTGTATCATAAACTTTTCATGTTTATTTTTAGAAATATTTTCCCTTTTTGCTATTTTCTCCAAAACATAAAAGGTTATTGATACCATAAGCTTTTATAATTTTCACCATAGAAATTTATATACTCACAGATATATATAAGGCTTTTGGCCCAGTTCTTTTTATGATACGGTTACCTTATATGTCCACTTAATGAAATACGGTGTGGCTATTCACAGTGATGGCTATGCAGATTATGTAGAATCCAAAGTTTATGCCTATAGTGGTAAGTAAAAAACACATGATACACAGTTACAATAACTAGGTAGAAAAATAGATAGAAACAAAAAGATTGGAAGAAAGAAAAATTAGCTTTCAGGTGCCATTTACCAATTGTTGGGCTTTTTTTTTTTTTAATGATTTATTGTTGGGCATGTTTTAGCCCAGGTATCAAACTATAAAAATGACCAAGGATTTAATGCACATCCTATGTATGTATTTTTTTAATCGATTTCTATGCAGATGTTTCTGCACACCTGCCCATGATTGTCCCCACTTCCCACTTGATAATTGTGTGGCCCACAGAATTGTTTGACCATACTGATTGAACTTCAGAGTGAAGAAGTCCAGTTGCTTGTCAGTGCCTTAGTAGTATTACCAGAATACCCAGTTTTTGCTTGGGTATCATATGATGCAGGAGGGCAGTTACTAGTAATGCTTCACTGGAAAATATTTGAGCCAAGAGGCAAGTTAGAGAATTCTCTTTGGAAATCAATTAAATTCAGGCTTTGAAAAGTAGAAGAAACAGACTTCATTACTCCTGTTAAGAATTCTCTGAGCTAGTCAGTCTGGTTAATAGAGATGTGCTAGAGGGAATGTCTTTTGAAGGCCAGGGTAGAGTCATGGACCAAGTTAGGAATAGCTACCGAGGTCAGTCTGGGAAGGTAAGCTAAACAGCCAAGCTGGTTCACCGCCTGCCAGAGATGTGGTTGAGGATCACCATCCACGTATATTTCACGTGGATGCATTTCGAGAAAGTGAAAGGGCCACTCTGAACTGCTGCTCTTTGACACGTCAAAGTTCAGGAGAAGAGACATGCTGTGCGTAGGATGTGAGGAAGATAGCAGTTGTACCAAGAATGAATGGAAGAAGAGAGGGAAACTTTGACTGTTTCCCCAGGTAAGAAAGCGAAACTAGGTCATTGATACTTGGCTGGATCTTCCAGGTCCTTACTGACCCTTTGCCATTCAACAGGTGACCCTGCCCTTAGCATGAGCCACTGGATGTTCCATCAGCAGGCCCTGCAGGAGTACATCCTGATGTGCTGCCAGTGCCCTGCTGGGGGGCTTCTGGATAAACCTGGCAAGTGAGTGCTTTCTCTCTGGGGAGGGAAGGGAGAGGGGAGGAGAGAGCAGAGGGGTGTGTACCTCAAGCCTACTCAGAGCCAGACCTTGAGAGCAGAGGTGTCACTCTTAGTGCCTGCACAGTGCGAGGTTGTATGGCAAAAAGCACCCCGATGGGGAGCACTCCTTGAGGCCATTGATCCTGGCATCTCCAGCTGCCTGTCTTGTCCCTCAGCTTGCATGCACTCCCCGCCCCAACCGGACAGGGAAACAGATTGCTTGGTAGATAACCTTCCTCTTTTTTTTTAAATTGGTCTAAATAGAATAGGATACAGTGTTTTAAAACCCCTGAGTGTTGTTAGAGGCTGTAATCATGACAGCTATTATAGAGTGAATTAAATGATTAAGCTCAAATCTGAGGTGCCTTATGTGCCATAAAAGAAAACGGGAAATCAAGTAAGTCCTCCAACCTTTGTTACCCATCCTCTGTCTCCCCCGCCCCAACACACATCCTGCTGCCCTTGGCATCCAGGGGAAGGCCTGGTCCCACAATTTATCAGGAAGAATGTGGCCTATTTCTAGATATTTAGGTATTTTTCTAGAGAATTGGACTGATTTATCACTAGTACTGCCCCTGGAGAGCCTGTTCCAGAAGACAGCTGGAGAGACTGACAGTAAAATTACATTTCCCTTTACCCATTAATAGTTTTAGGTAAAAAAAGAAGAAATGAAAAAAATCGAAGTTGCTGCTGCTGGGCGGGGCCAGAGGATGGGAATTCTATTTTATTGTGTCTTATTTTTTGAGACAGGGACTCATTCTGTCACCCAGGCTGGAGTGCACTGGCATAATCGTGGCTCACTGCAGCCTTCACCTCTTGGGCTCAGGTGACCCTCCTGCTTCAGCCTCCCAAGTAGCTGGAACAACAGGCATGTGCCACCACGTCTAGCTAATTTTTAATTTTTTTTTGTGGAGACAGGGTCTCCTTATGTTGACCTGGCTGGTTTTGAACTCCTGGCCTCAAACTATTCTCTTGCCTCAGCCTCCTGTGTCCTGCAATTATGGGTGTAAGTCACTGTGCCCAGACTATGAGGTTTTAAATGTCACTGCGGAGAAAACCTTGTCTCCTCTAGCCACATGGAGGACAAGGGGGGACATGTGATTGCACCAGCAGTCTCTGATTAGTGTGGCTGCATGCGTAGATGTGTGCGGGGCAGAGGAGTGCCTGCTCAGAGCTGCCTGTCCTTACAGGTCACGTGATTTCTACCACACCTGCTACTGCCTGAGCGGCCTGTCCATAGCCCAGCACTTCGGCAGCGGAGCCATGTTACATGATGTGGTCCTGGGTGTGCCCGAAAATGCTCTGGTAAGGCGGGTGCAGGGCTTCACACCCCTTCTCCACAGGGACCTCGTGGACAAAGCCTTTCCAAGTGAGCAGAACTGGCTCTGCATTTTCTGTGTAGACAGGCAAAAGCTTGTGGTCCCCACTCTTGGAGCTGTGCAGCCGTCAGTGAGGATGTGGCCATAGAGCAGATGTACCTTTGGGCAAGCTCAGGTTCCAGATGAGCAGTCTGATCTGTCACAGAGCTGTTGTGCCTTTATCCCAGGGCTGAGGACCTAGCGTACCACTGGTATTAGCTTCTTCTCAAGGAGGCTGCAGTTACGCATCACTCTGAGGCTGTGGGTCCCGGCAGGCTCATGGCACTGCAGCTGCATGGCACTGGCTATACAACCTGCTGCGTCTCCCCCAAAGGTTCAGCTTAGATGCCATCTCTTCAGAGAATGACATCCCCAGAATACTTTGCTTAGGGCCTTGTTCATACTCTTTGTATCACTTTGCTCAGTTGCTATGTTGTCAGCAGAAAATAACACAACCACACTGGGGAGCAGTTGAGAGCTATCAAAGATGACAATGTGGCCTGGTACGGTGGCTCCTGCCTGTAATCCCAGCACTTTGGGAGGCCAAGGCAGGTGGATCACAAGGTCAGGATATTGAGATGTGTTGTCTAATGTGTATTTGTCTGCTTTCCTCAAAAAACAATAGCCTTGTGAGGGCAGGATGCTCACCACTGCAGCCAGCTGAGGACAACCTGGCAGGAGGCGCTCTGAGCCTAGACCTGAGCCTGAGACGTGAATCCAATGGAGGCTGTCCCCAGTGATCAAATCACAGGGCCCATGCAGACTGCTGTGAATGTGTGTGTGCAGTTCCCCACTCTTACTAAGCCCTACTTCCACCAGTGTAAACATGGCCTGCTGCTGCCACTTAGGTCACTGCCTTATTTTCTAATCTGTGTCCTTTAACCTTCCTTTTTGTTTCTTTTTAAAAATTATTTAGAGACAAAGTCTCACTCAGTCACCCAGGGTGGAGTGCAGTGGCATGACCTTGGCTCACTGCAACCTCTGCCCACTAAGTTCAAGTGATTCTCCTGCCTCACTCTCCTGAGTAGCTGGGACTACAGGCACGTGCCACCATGCTCAGCTAATTTTTAGTAGACACCAGGTTTCACTGTGTTAGCCACAACGGTTTCATCCTGACCTCGTGATCCACCCGCCTTGGCCTCCCAAAGTGCTGGGATTACAGGCAGGAGCCACCGCACCAGGCCACATTGTCATCTTTGATAGCTCTCAACTGCTCCCCAGTGTGGTTGTGTTATTTTATGCTGACAACATCGTTAAGATGAACACAGTCATACTTTTTCTTTTTTGCCAGTTTGATGGATGTGAAATGGTATTTGTTTGGTTTTACGTTTTCCTTATTACTAGTAAGGTTGAGAATCTTTTCAAAGGTTTGTTGGCCATTTATGTTGTCTTCTGTGAATTGTCTGCCAGTTCATATCCTGTGCTCATTTTCTTACTGATGGATAACTTGTTTTCCCTTAAGTATTTGTAGTTCTCTGTATATTCTTGTTACCAATCTTTTGTCAGTTACATGTGTATAGTGAATATCTTCCAGCTTGTGACTTGTCTTCCATTTTGTGACTGTTTTGTGTTGTTATAAAAGAATACCCGAGACTAGGTAATATATAAAGAAAGGAGATTTATTTAGCTCATGGTTCTGTAGGCTGAGAAGTTCAAGGGCATGGCTGTGGCTTCTGGCAAGGGCTGTGCTGTATCACAAAGTGGTGGAAGTCAAAGGGGAAGCCAACCCATGCGAAGAGAGGAGAGCCCGAGGGCATCCTGGCCCTACAACAGCTTACCCTTGCAGGAACTAATCCATTCTCTCGAGGAGTAATCCAGACTCCCAGAGCAAGAGTGGGAGTTCACTCACTACTGCAAGAACAGCACGAAGGTACTCCTGAGGGATCCACCCCTCGAACCCATACACCTTCCACAGCCCCACCTCCCAACATCGCCACCCTGGGGATCAGATTTCAACATTAATTTTGGTGGGGCTAAACCACATCTAAACCATAGCATTTTGTTTTTAGTGTTTTTTGATTAAAGAGAAGATTTTAGGCCAGATGTGGTTCAAACCATAAACCTAGCACTTTGGGAGGCTGAGGTGGGAGAATTGCTTGAGCACAGGTGGTCAAGGCTGCAGTAAGCTCTGTTTGCATCACGGCACTCCTGTCTCAGAGATGGAGTGAGACCCTGCCCCCAGCCCCCCGCCCCGACAAAAATATTTTAGTATGTTGATTTTGGAGTAGTCAAATCTATTTGTCTTTTCTGTGGTTGAGGGGTTTGTTTTGAGGGGAGGGTAGATAATTTACTTAAGAAATCTCTGCCATTTTTTGAGGGAAGCAGACAAAAGGAGGCACACATTAAACAAGTTACAAATTGTGACGTGTGCTATAAAGGTAACAAACGAGGCACTGCAGTAAGTCATTACGTGTAATTTCTACATAGTCTAAAGCTTGCTTTTTTGGTCCAGATTTTTAACTCTCCTGGATTTGGTTTATATGTGTGGTGAGGGTTCGATATAATGCTATCTTTTTTCCATATGGATGACCAGTTGTTGGGCACCATTTGCTGAAGTCTTCCATCTTTCCTGCCGATGTGTGTCTGATGTGTACCATACCCTCAAGTTTCCATACAGGAAGGGGCCCTGTTTCTGGACTCTATTCTGTTCCTTTGGTCTGTTTGCCTGTCTGCACTCTTTTAAGCAAGTCTGAAAACAGGCAAGTCCTGTCTGCCTTGTTATTTTTCTTCAAAATTGTCTTGGCTATTCTTTGCCTTTTGCTTTTTCCTGTGAATTGTAGGATCAAGTTCTAATAGGATTTTTGTTGGAATTGCACTACATTTTAGGTTAATAGGAGAGAACTGACTTTATTTTCCTTCCTGTCTTCCCAGGAATAGAAAGAGAACTGACTTCTTTTCAATATTTAGGCTTCCAGTTATGAGCTTAATTTTTCTTTAATATCTTTCAATGGTCTTTTATAATTTTTTCCATAAAGGACTAGTTTTTTTTTTTTTTTTTTTTTGGTTAGAGTTATGCCCAAGTAATTTACAGTTTTTATGTCTCTTGTGACTGGAATCTTTTTTTTTCTATTTTGTAACTTACTAGTGTATAGAAATGCTAATGATATTTGTAAATCTTGCATCCACTCACCTTGCTGCACTCTTACTAGTTTGTCTGTAGAATCTGTTGGATTTTGTTTTATTTTTCTTGCCTTGTATTATTGGCTAAGATCGCCACATAATGCTGACTAAAGGTAATAATAGAGGGCATTCCTGTCTTGCTCCTGATTGTAATGGGAGGGCTTTTAATAATCTGACTATTAAGTATGACATTTACTATAGGGTTGTGATAATTACTTTATTTCAAGTTAATGATATTCACTTCTATTCCTGATTTGCCAGGTTGTTTTTGTTTCAGTCAACAAGGTAGTGTTAAATTTTATTGAATGCTTTTTCCACATCTGATTATTATTCATGTTTTATTAATATTCTATTAACCTTATATAAGCTTAATAGAATATTAATAAAACATATATTAAAGAACAATCTGTTTATTCTTTAGAATATAAGGTTAATTAATAGAATATTAATATAAGGTTATATTCCCAGATTGAGCCCTTCTTGGTCATAGCAGAGAATATGTCTGTGTCTGTGTGTGTGTGTTCGTTCAGTACACTGCTGGATTCAGTTTGCCAGTATGTTTGCCTAGTCCTCTTATTTAGGATTTGTTTGGATGTGTGTTCATAAGAAAGATTGATCTAAAATTTTACTGTATTGTCCTTTTACAGTGTTTCGGGATAATACCATAGCCTCATAAAGTGAGATGGGTAGCTACCTGCCCTGCTGACCTTTTTTTTTTCTTTTTCTTTTTTAGAGACAGGGTCTTACTCTGTCTCTCACTCTGCCGGAGTGCAGTGGTGTGATCATAGCTCACTGCAGCTTGGAACTCCTGGCTCAAGCTGTCCCCTGCCTTAGCCTCCCAAGTAGCAGGGACTACAGGTGCACGCCACCAGAACCTGCTAATTTTTAAATTTTTTGTAGAGACAGGGTTTTGCTGTTACCTAGGCTGGTCTTGAACTCTTAGCCTCAAGCTATCCTCCTACCTCAGCCACCCAAGGTGCTGGGATTATAGGCATGAGTCATTGCACCTGTCCCCCCTCCTTTTTTTTTCAGTCTCTTAAAAAGTTTGTATGGGTCAGAGATTATCTGTTTCTTTATAGATTTGATACTACTAGCTTGAGAAACCATCTAGGTCTGGTATCTTTTGGGAGATGTGGGGGAGGCAGAGTGCAATTGTTATTCATTTCTTCATATAGGCCTTTAAAAATTCCTTAAGTCAATTTGGACAATTTTTGTAGTTTTTAAAAATCGTTTATCTTAAAAAAAAAAAAAAGAAAGAAAAAATTCATCAACATCCCACGGGGGTAAAGAAAAAATTGTTCATCTGAAGTTTGGTATGTTTTAGCATGAAGTTGCTCATAGTATTCTCTCAAAATGTTTTTCATCTCTTCTGCAGTCATATCCCCTTCTTCATTCTCCCACAGTGGGAGAATCCTGAATATTGGCCTAGGATTATGCCCTGTGTCAAATCTGAAATTTCTTTTGGGTTTCTGTGATGTACTAGAATGACCTCATAGAATTTAAATATGACCTGACAGCCTTACTACATAATAGGGTTGTGGTCCTTTTTTTTTTTTTTTTTTTTTTTGGCTCACTGCAACTTCTACTTCCCAGGTTCAAGCAATTCTCCTGCCTCAACCTCCTGAGTAGCTGGGATTACAGGCACCCCCCCATCATGCCTGGCTAAATTTTGTATTTTATAGTTTCACCATGTTGGCCAGGCTGATCCATCTGCCAGCCTTGGCCTCCCAAACTGCCACGATTACAAGCATGAGCCACTGTGCCTGGCCCCTTTTTTCTTGATTATATTTGTAAATATATGTTTATTATTTTCATAATTGGGATACATAAAATATAAGAAAATTAAAACATCACTATTAATATTTTGGTATGGGTACGATTTTTGCCTATATATACATCACAGGTATAAATACGCTTTTTAAAAAGTTTGAAAACAGGTGCGGTGGGTCACGCCTATAATCCTAGCACTTTGGGAGGCCGAGGCAGGTGGATCACCTGAGGTCACGAGTTTGAGAACAGCCTGGTCAACATGTTGAAAGCTTGTCTCTACTAAAAATACAAAAATTAGCCAGGCATGGTGGCTCACACCTGTAATCCCAGCTACTGGGGAGGCTGAGGCAGGAGAATTGCTTGAGCTCAGGAGGCAGAGATTGCAGTGAGCCCAGATCATGCCATTGCACTCCAGCCTGGGCAACAGAGCAAGACTCCATCTCAAAAAATATAAAAAGTTTGAAATAGTATTGTACATACTATTTTCTCACATAATAGGTTATAAGCATTTGCCTATATCATTAAATATTTAAATGTATGTTAATAATGGCTGTATATTACCCTGTGCCTCATGTACTAGATCATTTTAGCAAATAGGCCATTTTTGAACCTTTGGTCTTTGTGTGATAAATCTTTGTGTGTATCTGATTCCTTATACTAAATTCTTAGAAGTGCCTTTCATGGGGCAACGGATGTGTATGTTTTCAAGGACCACCAGGGTGATTCACTGGCACCTGTTCTTCTCTTTGCAGCAGCCCACTCACCCAGTGTACAACATTGGACCAGACAAGGTGATCCAGGCCACTACATACTTCCTGCAGAAGCCAGTCCCAGGTTTTGAGGAGCTTAAGGATGAGACCTCAGCAGAGCCTGCAAGTGACTAGACGACCTGGGTCCCTGCAGCTCTGTGCTCACTCATCTCCCCAGTCAGACAAGGTTTATACGTTTCGATACATAACGCGTTCTGTGCTACACAAGCCTTAGCCACATTGGAGCTGTGGTTCTCTTTGTCATTTCTTGTCAAACAAACAAAACAAACAAAACAAAACAAAAACCAGTGGCTCTGGGTTTGGACAACACAGTGGCTGGTTTTAAAAATTCTTTCCACACCTGTCAAACCAAAAATCTGTCAGCCCATGTGCTGTGGGTGAACAGTGCACGCTGGGAGGAAGCAGCCCCTCCCTACCAGCTCTCCAGCCAGGATGATCACACAGAGATGAATGGCATCTGAGTATTATGGCATCCAGCGCCTCTGCTGACTCCCACTTGCACGCCACCATTCAGTCACCAGACTGGGTGCCCTCCCATGGGTGAAATAAGTCTGCTCCATGCCAAGGCTGGGCTTTGGGTCCCACCAAGATGAGTTCTCTGGAAGACTGTGGTGGGGTTGCACCAGGAGGTGCCTCTGCATCTTGACTCCCACCCTGCTCATTTGCAAGGGAAAGGAGCTGGAGGTGGGGGGAGAAAGGTCTCCTTCGGTTGGGAGTCCCTCCCCTTCAACACTGGAGAACTGAGCCTTGCATCTCTCCAGGGTCCAGGTCCATGCTTGGTGCACAGGCAAGACTTGCTTCAGCCCCAGGTGTGGCGACTTAAACTTGGGAAATAATTTTGAGTAGAAAAGGAACCTTGAGTTCAACGTGCCATAGGAAGCAGCCCTCCAGTGCCCACCCACCTCACCCCTCCCCATCACGTACCGTGAAACCCCCTCTGCTGGCCCCAAGGCAGTACCTGCAGCTGAGATCATTCTGTGGGTTTCTGTCTTTCTTCCACCAGACTCCAAGCCCACTCTTCTCCAAGATAGTGTTGTCTTTTCTCACCCAGAGTATTAACACTACTAAGTCTTTCACCTTAATTTATGACTCAGGATTTATTCATGTCCTACTCACTCTAGGCTCACAGGAATAAAATCAAGTGCTAGACAGGCTGGTTGCCACTAAGGCACTAGCCTTGGGAGCTGATGGTGGCAGCAGGGGGTGCCGCCCAGCGTGCTGAGTGCTGGCTGTGCCTCTGCTGTGCTGCACATGAGCCCCTTCTCAATCAGTGGGGTGTCGAGTTGGGTCATCTGGCCTTCATGTAAGCAGCTGTGGGCAGACAGGAGCAATGAGCCTCTTAGAAAAGCCTGGCCATGTGCTGCCTCTAATTCCCTTTTGCTTTTACCTATTGGGCTATTACCTCCATGAAATAATAAAATAATAACATTTTCTATGACTTCTCTTATTTGTGGTCTGTACCAAGAAAATGCCCAATGGTAGGAGCTATTGGGTTGTTCATGGGATGGTCAGTCTCCTATGTGCGGGGTTCCAGACTGTTCATATCAATGGTAACAAAGAACAACGAGCCAAGTTCCATCCTCACATGCTGTCTCCTCCAGTAGAGGAAGCCACGGGCCTAACAGAGTGGGAAGAGTTGTTTTCCAAGCTCCCTGGGGTAATTCAGTGTGCTTTGTCCCAGCCCTTCACACACTGCATTTTATGGTCTGTCTCCAGCAGACAGTAAGGACTGTGCCCAGTAGTCCGAGAGCAAGCTGATTCAGCAAGGGTGGGTGGATGTCCTGGCCAGAGGCAGGGGCTGTCACAGGGACAGGCTGTAACTCTGGTCACTTGGCTTTCCCTTCCTCTGGCAAGAGACCCTTTCCCATGGGAGGCCAAGAATATGGATGTCCTGTGTCCTGATCCTCCAGAAGATAGTGTCCTTAGAAGATGCCCAAATCCATGTAAATAAGCAAAATGCACATCCAGGAATGTAATTCCTGCCCCCTGTGCTATTTTTGCCCTGTTAACAAAGGTTTGCGCTGCAAGGCAACATATTCCATCACTATAACAAGGCAAAATCCTCTCAGCACCAGAAGCCTCAAGGTATTGTGCGATTAATACCTTGTGTAATAATAATTAGTGTGGTTAACAGAAGGGACTGCTTCACTCTCAACTGGCTTTTTACCAAGAAGGAGGGATCTGAGCTGGGCCCCGAAGGGTAGGTAAGTTAGTCTGGGTAGAGAAGAGAGAGGGTTATTTCAGGAGAGTTTACACTGGCAATGAGACATCCTTTTCAAGAGGGTTTCCTGATAGCCTTCAGGGTGAGTCCTATTCATCTGAGACAGGATCTTGCTCAGATGCACCCAGCCTGGAGTGCAGTGGCATAAGTATGACTCACTGCAGCCCTGAGCTCAGAAGATCCTCCTGCCTTAGCCTCCCAAGTAGCTAGGACCACAGTTACACACCACACAGCTAGCTAATTCTTGTCTTTTTTGTAGAATAGGGTTTTACCATGTTGCCCAAGCTGGTATTGAAACTCCTGGGCTCAAGTGATCCTCCCACCTCAGCCTCCGAAAGTGCTGAGATTACAGGTGTGAGCCACCATGCCTTCAGAGAGTATGTGAATTCTTGAGTAGAAGACATTTATGCAAAATTCAAGGTGGCTTACTCCAAATAAAGACTTTATGCCATCAATAAACACAAAACTAATACAGAGCTCTGTATCCAGATGGGCCCCAATTTCACCCGTAGACTCCATCTCAGACCCACCTTGAATACCAGATAAGTTGGGAAGCCTGCCAGACCCTACAGGGAGCAGAGCATAAAGAGCTCATGGATAAACAGGGGAAACACCCATGAGATAACAATACCAATAACCAATAGTTCTAAACTGCTCTCCCTTCTTGGTATTACTAAGCATTCTTCCATATCTTTCATGACTGGGATACTTTTCATGTAATAATAGTGTCAAGTGACAAATATATTCTTTGTCAGTAAGGCTTGGACCAACCATTCTAGTCACCCATGTGCACTGCTTGGTGGTATTTACTGCCTTTGAACAGGAAGGAAAGTATAATATACGATACCATTGCAACTGGTAGAAAACTTGGCCCAAATTGGCTTTTAAAGCAAAGAGACTATCTGTTGACTCTGAACTGCAAAGTCCAGGAATTTGGCTGGCTATTCGGTTCCTTACCCTCCCTCCATCTCTACATTAGCTTCAATCTCAGGCTCTCTATGGGGTAGAGTACCAATAACTCCAGACCCTACATCCTCTTGGGGTGAAGTTCAGCAGACAAGCACACCTGGTGCTGCCCCAGCCTTCCTTCCCAGCAAGTGTCATTGTGTTTCACTGGCTTTAATCAAACCAAGTGCCTTTCCAAGAAGCAGTCTGGTAGCCTGGAGAATACAGTACACCAGTTGGCTGAAGTCTTGGTCACATGCCTCTCCCATGAGAGGGAAATGAGGCTTCATCAGAAGCATGTCGTTTTTGAGAAGGAATGAAGCCCCAAATGCAAATTAGGATTGTTGCCAAAGGGGTAAATGGATACTAGAGAGGCAAACAGCCATTACTGGCAAACAGTGGGTTATTACTGGGACAGAAGCCGGTAGAGACATTGTTAGCATCCATGTGCCTCTTCCCTACCTATGGCAGCCAAAAGGTTTGCCTGGGCTTGATGCCCTCCTACCTCCAGGCCCAGGCCCTGATTGGCTAAGCCAATCTGTCTGTCTGTCTATCTACTATCTGTCTGCCTGCCTGCCTGCCTGCCTATCTAGAGATGGGTCTTGCTCTGCCACCAGGCTGGAGTGCAGCAGTGCAATCTCGGCTCACTGCAGCCTCCACCTCCCAGGTTCAAGTGATTCTCCTGCCTCACCCTCCCAAGTAGCTGGGATTACAGGTGTGTGCCACAACCCCAGCTAATTTTTTTTTTTTTTTTTTTTTTTTTTTTTTTTTTAGTAGAGATGGGGTTTCATCATGTTGGCCAGGATGGTCTGGATCTCTTGACCTCGTGATCTGCCCACTGCAGCCTTCCAAAGTGCTGGGATTACAGGCGTGAGCCATCCTACCCAGCCTAAGCCAATCATTCTAATTTCTGTCTTTGCCCCAGTAATTTGTTCAGGTTGGGAGTAACTCAGGCCTAAGCCAGTCAGCATCCTTGCCCCGGTGATCAATTCAGAGCAAAAGCATGTGACCTAAAGAAAGATGTCATCCATGCTGTATGACAGGGAGAAAAGCAGCTCGTTCCTATTAGGGTATGGTAGAATGTGTAGCCTGGGCCTCCTATAACCATTTTTCTACCTAGAAGGAAGCCAGCACACAAAGACACTCTGAGAGACTGAGAAACATGGCCCTGATCACATGGCTCCCGAGGCCTATGTGGCCTCTGGGTTTTCAGTTATATAAGCCATTGTGAGTTGGACTTACTATTACCTGCAACGGAAAGCAACCTAATACAGTCATGTTACTTAATGATGAGGACATGTCCTGAGAAAAGCATTGTCAGGTGACCTTGTCGTAGTGTGAACATCATGGAGAGCACTTACACAGACCCAGACGGCAGAGCCTACCGCACGCCCAGGCCATATGGGGTAGCCAGTAGCTCCTAGGCTAAAAACCTGTGCAGCTTGTCACTGTACTATATACTGTAGGCAACTGGAACACAGTGGTATTTGTGAATCTAACGTGGAAAAGGTACAGTAGATCTCATGGGACCACTGTTGCACATGTAGTCTGTTGTTGACCAAAACATTATGTGGCCTGAATATATACAAAACTCTACCACCAATTAACCCAAGTCCAAGGCCTTACCTGCTGCTTTAAAAGTGCTGACCACTCTTGCCTCATCTACCCAAACAATAACCCTTAAGACAGCCCCTTCTGGTCTGCTGCCTCTCATTTGATCCCTGACTCACCTTGTGAGTGAAACAGGTGTATTATCTTTTACAACTGGAGAAACAGGTTGGAGAGCTTAAGTGAATCACCCAAGGTTTCCCAGCTGTCAAGTGGTGGGGCCTGAGCCTGAGCCCAGATCTGCTGCCTCCAAAGCCCATGCTGTTCCATCACCTCAGGCCTCTGAAGGAAGGTGAGAGGTCTCTGGGAATGGTAGGCAGTGGTGAAACATGCTTGGTTTACCTCCAGGCTGGATGACGGAGGCCCTGAATGCCAGCTCCCATCTGTCACTAGGTCGAGGATGGTGACAGCAAATAGGGCAGGCCCCTCACCATTCTGATGAGGTCTCCACTTGCTGCCAAGTGTGTGGCATAGTGACACTTGCTGCACCAGGTGCATGCCACACCAGAGCAGAGTGTGATGCGGTGTGGCTCAGTGAGGCCGTGATGAGTCCATCTTCCTGGGAGCTGACCAGAGCCAGACAGCAGCCAGCTTTCTCCAACCTGGCCGAGGCACATCTAATCGGTTCCTGCACATCCTCTTACTTCTCTGCAGTAACCTGCCTTGCCTCTGCTTACCACCTGCTGCGGATCTGGAGCCAGGTGGCCTCACATACCTCCCTCCTACTTCTCTGACACATCCAAGAATGAAACCAGGCAGGGCAGGGACAGGGTACTCATCACTAGCCCAGCCCATGAAGAAATACAGCACTCTCAAAATAAAAACAAGAATAATGCATTTTTAGGTCAGGTGTGATGGTTCATGCCTGTAATCCCAACACTTTGGGAGGCTGGGGATGGAAGATCACTTGAATTCAGGGGTTTGAGACCAGCCTGAGGGACATAGCCAGACTCTATCTCTACAAAAATTAAAAAAAAAAAAAAAAAAAATTAGTTGGGTGTGGTGGTACACACCTGTGGTTACAGCTATTTGGGAGGCTGAGATGGGGGTCACGTTGAGTCTGGGAGGTCAAGGCTGCAGTGAGCTATGATTGTGCCACTGCACTCCAGCCTGGGTGACAGAGCAAGACCCCATCTTTAAATTTTTTTTTTTTAAAGCATTTTAAAAAATAAATGTTTCAGAATAGTTTGAGATTAACAGAAAAATTGCCAAGATAGTACACAGAGTTCCCACAGACCCATTAGTCAGTTTTCCCTATTATTAACATCTTCCACTAACAGGAATTTGTCATAATGAATGAACCAATTTTGTTACATTACTAACGAAAGTCCATACCTTATTTGAATTCCCCTAGGTTTTACCTAATGGCCTTTTTCTGTCCAAGGATCCCATCCAGGACACTACGTTACACTGAGTTGTCATGTCTCATGTCTCCTTAGACTCTTCTTGGTTGTGACAGTTTCTCATTCTTTTCTTGTTTTTGATCACTTTGACAGTTTTGAAGAGTACGGCCAGGTATTTTGTAGAACATCCCTCAGGTGGGATTTGTTTGATGTTATCCTCATGACTAGATGAGGGGTTATTTTTTGTTGTTCTTTCAAGAGACATTGTCCTGCTCTGTCGCCCAGTCTACAGTACAGTGGATCACAGCTCACTGCAGC